TTTGACATTATTTTATACAGGAAAAATCAGTTCCTTAAGAAAAAGTGAAAGGCTGCTTCAGTTGGCAAGGAAGATTCACAGGAATTTTCAGTTTTAGTGTGCTCAGTATGTTCTATTTCTGCCCAAATGTTCTCATGGTAAATTTCAGAGTTCCATTTTTTTCCCATATGTAAGTTACCTTACATAATTTGGTTAGAGTGCTTATTTAACTGGTTTTTTCAAATATGCAACTGTACGATCACATCTGGGGCATGATTCTTAGCCGTGTCTTCTTACAGCCACGTTAGATAAGGTGTATTAGTCAGCTTTCCATTCACTGGTGCAAAATACCTGGTACTTGCAACTTAAAGAAGGAGAGGTTTATTTGACTCCTGGCTTCAGAGCTTCAGTCCATGGCTGGCTGTTTCAAAGGCAGGAACATCATGGTGGAAGGGCTTGGAGGAAAGTTGCTGAACTCATGGCAGACAGTAAGCAGAGCAAGGGAACAGCATCAGAGAGAAAGGGCCAGGGACCAAGCATAGCACGCAAGGTCACACTTCCGTGACCAGCTAGACACACTCAGGAGAAGAAGTGTGCTTTACTATTTCCCCAGGCAGCTGTCAAGCCAATGAAATTGACAGTCCAGCTTAACTCTCAGGAAAGGATTTTCCTTTAGGACATCAGAGGCACTTTGTTTCTTTACCTAATTTTTGATTTGAGAATGTAAAGCTCTCACTTCATCTGTGTTTTTCAAAAAGCTCTCCAAGGCAGTAAAGGCAGTAAGAAATACTTATATCAACATTTCTGATTTGTTTTTACCACTGAAGCAATAACAATAAATGCTCAGCAACTTGATTTCCCAAAGCTCGCTTTCCACTTGCACTCTATCCCACCCTACGAAGGTGGTAAAACCTGGAGCAATGCTTGCGGATGGTATTGTTTGTCTAGGGCATACTTCCTTTTGTTGAGGAAATTGCCTGGGGCTGATGGCAACCAATCCAGAATCTATCTAACGAATCTATGTCCTGGAGTGAAGTTGAATATTAATTACTACGTCAGTCAGTGGTGACAGGCAAGGAAGAAACCAATGGTGCTATAAAACAGATGTAACTAAACAGAATTTTTAAACAAGACTTTTTACTGAGACAGATATATATCCATAGTTAAGAAAAAAACAAATGTTTGTCTAACAACCAGAAGTTAAAGAGTCAAGAGGAGGAAAAATTGTTACCAAGCTTGGCAAGAGGCTGAGTTCTGGAAGAGAGGCTACTTGTCAGGGAGCTGACAAAACATCAAGGCAAGGAAAGAAGGAAGATGCATTCCCCTGCCTCCTCTCACCATTTGATTTCCTGATATCCTACTTCTTATTGTTTGAGACTAGATGGTAACCAAATGGAGCAAGGATGATGTATGCAGGTAGTTGATATCTCTTTCATTTCCAGGGAAATTAAAGCCAAGAACATGTATGCTTGAGATACTTTGCTAAGGCAAAACCTTCCATTGTATGTGCCATACAATTCTTACATATTCAAATAATGTGTATTATATTTTAGGCAATCCTCAAGTTAATAAATCTATATTTTCATTAATCTATTGAAAATTTTGACAAAAATTCTGCAGTATTGATAGATGAATCTAATCTCAAAGGGAGGGAAGGTAAAGAAATATCTGTTCTAAAGCTCTAAGAAATATTTTAAAAGATTCAATTAAGTTAAAACCCTGAATTAAATGGTCTAAGATTCTTAGCTTAACCTCCTATAAGGGAAAAAGGTCAGGAGAGCATTTCCATATAAGTAATTAATTAAAAATAATGTTTTGGCAAACTTAAATAAATATGAAACAACTTGAAAGGTTTTTACATTGTATTTAAAATGCTAAAGTGTTTAAGGAAGTTATAACAACTTCTTGAGTCTTTGTACTAATTTCATATACATAATATTAGGTATATATGTACATAGCCAAAGAAAATTTTCAGTTTTATGCCAGGCAATTTTTGAGATTCTGGGTTTATTTGTCTTCCCATAAAGAATGTTGGGCTTTACTTTGGCAGACAGCTTCATCACGCCCAGGCTTGGTTTCCAGCTTTGTTAGAGCAAGTCTGGAATATTCCTTCCACACCGGCGGGAAGGAGTATTTCTACTCCTCAGCAATGACTTTTCTGGAGTTTCCCTTCTGGGTTGCTCTCATTCTCTGTTTCCCAACACTGATTGTTCTCCAGCAGTTCCACTGATGTCATGTTTCTAAGGAAGTTGCTTTGAAGAGGCTTCCTCTGAGCTTCACACACGCACGCACACGTTTTTGATCAAAGACTCCAGAGGATACCTGTGCAGATTTCTGGGGCTCCTTCACTACTATGCTCCCTTTATCCCCCTTTTTTCTGTACCAGGGATCAAACTCAGGACCTTGAGCTTGCGAGGCAGGCAGTGGAACCACTGAGCTAAATCCCTTTGTTTATAAGGGTGTCTGGTCCCTGCCCCTTTCTCTCAGATGCTCTTCCCTTGCTCTGCTTACTGCCTGCCCTGAGCTCAGCAGCTTTCCTCCGAGCTCTTCTTGTAACCTAAAATATAAATTCCAGCTCCTACAGTAACCCCAAACTTCAATCTCTATTTCCTGTGGCCAGCAGGACTTCAGCACTCCAATTGGGCTCCTTGGCCACAATTTGGAAGTTGTTTTCACGTAGTAAACTAGAGCAAATATAGCATTTACCTATGTGTGGTGTCTCTCAAGGATCATGGCCCTGAACTGTGTGTGGAGCAAGGCCCCCAAAGAATTGCTTTATGTATTTTTCCAGTTTTATAGTTAGTCATAGTCAGAAGTCTTCATTTTCAAAACTCATTTCATTGTTTCCTTAGTAAATGATTGGTTATCTTCCAAAACATTATAAGACTTGGGGACTGAATAATGCCATTCAATTGAAAAAAGTGTGTTTTTATGGAGGAGTTTCTTAAGTTTGTCTCTCTCTTTTTGGTACTGGGGATCAAACTTGGGACCTTGCACTTGTAAGGCAGGTGGCAGCAGCACTGAGCTAAATATTGAGCAGTTTGTTGTACCAAGCAGTTTACTAAATGCTTTGAATAAATTTTCTCATTTCATCTTGCAAATAAATCAGTGAAATATAGTCCTTGTTGGCTGTATTTTGTTTTTCACTTTAGGAGGTAAGGCTTTTTATTTTACTGATGCCTCTTTAGACACCTCCAAGAAAAGCCTGTAAGGAAAGCATTTCAATAGGTTTTAAACTTCAGATTAAAATTCAAATATACATACCATTTCCAAAACAAAAACAAAAAACAAAATTCAAGGAATGCAGTTTTTAATAGTATGAAACTATCTGGCTATTTACCTATATCCTTCCATTTTTGATGTACATCATGATGTTAATAGAGTTTAACTTGTAATTATTCTGCAATGTGCAAGACGGAAGTTTCATTTTGGAAAGGGACTTATTCTTCATATAAATTCTATGATATGGAGTAAATTGTGAGAATTGGTTAAATAATTAACATAGTATTATAGTGTAAGAGTTCTTTGCAATATGAATTCTTTTTTTTTCTCTTTGAGTTTATTGGTACATTTTAGGTATACAGTACAGTTACATTCATCATTGGGATCTTGTACCTTTACATGACAGGTCTTGGTTCTCATTTTTTCCCATTATCCCTGCCCTCCCTTCACCCCCCTCCCCATTTACAAATACTTTATTTCCATTTTTTTCCTTTTCCCTATTTTACCTTTTCCCTACCTTTCCCATTTCCCTTACACCTTTATCCCTTTTCTTCCTATTTCACATTGCAATATGAATTCTTTGGTGACCCCTGAAGACATGTCTTTGAAGAATGAACTTTTTTGAGGCAGGATCAGTTCAGGCTGGCCTTTAACTATGTAGCTCAGGCTAGCCTCGAGCCTGTTGCTATTTTCCTTCCTTAGCCTCCCACATGCTGGGACTATAGGCATGCACCACTGCACTCTGCAAAAGTGAGCTTTCTAAGCTCACTATATTTGTCAGTTTCACTCTACAACAAATCCTTTTATGACCTCAAAATCAACATTTCACAAAAGACGCACTATATTCATTACACCTGCAAGGTTTCTCCCCAGCTCAACTATTCTATAGTTTTGGTGCTTGGATAAAAGCCTTATTATGCCAATTGCCTTTGTCTTGCTTCCTCAAGATATAAATTGATGCCTAGTGAATTCTGAGAACTCGAAGCCTCTGTTGCACATGTATTATGGTTTTTATAAGTTGTTCTTTAGTATTCATTGGGATGTTGATTATTGCTTGAATTCGTGATGGCTTTGCCACCCTCATTGCTTCCGTAAAATATCATTCATGTACAAATTCTCCAGAGTTATGGAAGGTAGGAATTTGCACATTCAACACATTTCCAGCATAGGTCATCTGATATGTCTTGAAGCGTAAGCAGTGAAAAAGAGGATTTGCCAAACTTATTACATTTTTGTCAGATTTTCAGGGATACATTATCTGATGTGCACTGAGGCCTTGAAAGCACAATCACAGATTTGCCATCCTTATTACTTTGTGAGATTTCTTTCAACTGCGAATTTTTTGGTGAATGCTAATGTCAGATTTTCACCTTAAGGCACTGTTACATTGGTAAGGTTTCTCTCTGCTATGGGTTGGTTTACGGTTATTTATGTGTTAAGTGACAATGTTAAATGATAACTCAAGGCCTGCCTCATTTACTGCACATGAAAATTATCTTTCCAGCAGGAATCCAAAACTTTGTTAGGCTCAAACACTGACTGAAGACTTTTGCCTCATTCACTTTTCAGCTTTCTTTCTGGGAGAGGAAATCTCCAATGAACTCCAAGTTAGAAACTGTCATAGAAGACCTTGAGATATTTTTTCCAGTATGGATTACATGCTTAGTTAGGCTTAAACACACGAACAGCTTGGTAACACTCACTGAATTTGTAAGATTTTACTCCCAAAGTGATACTATGCATAAACTGTCAAATTTGACCAAAGATCTTTGGACATTCGTTACGTTTCTAAAGTTTCCTCAGGTATGAATTCTCTGCTGATGTACCAGAGATGAGTTTAGACTGAACACTTTGCCACATTCATTACATCTGTAAGGTTTCTTTCCAGTATGAATTCTTTGGTGACATGAAAGATGTGAGTTTTGACTGAAGACCTTTCCACATTCATTATATTTATAAGGTTTTTCTCCAGCATGTATTCTATGATGACATGCAAGGTGGGAATTGTGACTGAATACTTTGCTACAGTCATTACATTTCAAGGTTTCTCTCCAGTCTGAGTCATCAAATGTTCTGCAAGATATGAATTACGCCTAAACACTGTACCACATTCTTTACATTTGCAAGGTTTCTCTGCTGTTTGAATTCTACGATGTTGTGCAAGGTGTGAAATATGGTTAAAGACTTTGTCACATTCACTACATCTATAAGGTTTTTCTCCCACATGAATTATCAGATGTTGTGCAAGGTAGGAATTGACTGGAGACTTTGCCACATTCATTACATTTGAAAGGTTTCGCTGCAGTGTGAAGTCTATGAGGGTTCACAAGGTTTAAAATTTGATTGAAGGCCTTGCTACATACATTACATGTGTATGGGTTCTCTCCAGGATGGATTCTCTGATGATTTGCTGGGTATGACTTGTGACCCAAAACCTTGCCACATTCATTACATTTGAATGGCTTTTCTCCAGCATAAATTTGCTGATGTTGAGCCAGATCAGAAATATGATTGAAGACTTTTCCACATGCACTGCATGGGTATGGTTTCTCACCTGCATGAATTCTCTGATGACTTATAAGATTTGATTTCTGATTGATTGAAGATGTTGCTGCATATATCACATATAAATTGTTTCTCTCCAGCCCAGACTATCTGATGCATAGTAAACTGTGAGCCTTGCTTAAAAGATTTTCCACAGTCATTCCATCTGTAAGGTTTTGTATTAATGTGCATGTCCTGTTCTTGTATGAAAAATAAAGGATCGATAAAATTATTTTCATATTCATGAGAAATGTTTGTTTTGACACTAGAAGGATTACTTTGGTGGCATGAAACTGAGGAATCACTGTTGTTAGACTGTGCAATATAATTACACACTCCTAATTGTTCCTTTCTTTTGCATACAGCTGGTCAAGCAGTTGTGATTGAAAGCTTAATCCAAGGCAATTTTAATATGTTTCTTTCCTGCATCCCTTCTATGATATTCGTCTCTTCTACCATTCAGATTCTCCTTGTGTGTCACACAAAATCCTATGACAAATCTTCTTCCCTCTCTGCAATGGCCCTGAAAATCATGTATAGTTTTCTGGATTTCTTTGAAGCACAATCCTTCAATGTCATGGATTTTATGACTTTCCAATATTACTGTCTGGAACATTTCTCCCGTATCACTTTTTCTTTTTGGTGGAAATTCCTTGATGATAGATTTGGGAGAGGTATCTGTGGTCACACCTTTGACATATTCCCACGCATCTGAGTTTTTGGATACTTTCACTTGGCCACCCATACTCGAGAGCTCTCCTCCTTGCTCCAACATCACGTCCCTGTATGAAATCCTCTGAATGGGGTCCAGGTCTTCCCACTCCTCCTGGGAGGACTTGATGGCCACATCCCTGAATGTCAACAGACCCTGAATAAGAGCCATTTTTGACTTTTTCTTTCCTCTTCTTCCTCTTTCAGGCTTCTTCCTTATGTAACAAGAGTCTTTAAAAGTTAAGCCTGTTGGATGTTCCAGCAGAGTTGTGGTGATATATGTACACAGGATTCTAGGGTTCCTGGGAGAGGTCTGAATCCTGGTGGCTATAGTCTGTTGGCTATATTTTAGAGATGAGGAAAATGAAATCTAAAGACTAACAAAGCCTTGCCAAGAACTCATCTCTAATGAATGATAGAGTCAAGAATTGAACCAGATTAGTAACTCCAGGGTCAAACTCTTAAAATCCATTCTTGCTTGATTATTCTTCTCTAATAAGCCACTTATATAGCTAAAGCTGTTCTAATAAAAATGCCTTATTAGTTTAGAAAATTCAGCTATTGCTGTACATGTTCACTATTTTTGAAAAGCCTCACATATGTAATTGTTCCATAATAGCTTTATTATTCCTCCTTGTACCCAAGGATAAGGAAGCTAGCTGCATTTCATTTTTCTAAGGAGAAAGTAAACTGATTTCCTTAAATTGAATAGGAAGGGAAGGAAATCAGTGCACTTTATTATTAGTTAAATAACAAAACAAAGTACAACTATGTACTTTTAAATTAACACAACTTATTTTTAGAACAGTTTTTGATTCACAGCTAAACTGGGTGAAAATTACAGACAGTTTCTACATATCCTTTTCCTCCAGCACACAACCTTTCCTCCCCTCAACATCACAGCACCAGAGTCAAACACTTGTCACGCTGAGCCAACATTGATACATCATTATTAACTGAAGCCTATAGTTCATATTAGGGGTCACTTTTCCTGCTGCACATCCTACCGGTCTTAATAAGTATAAATGACATGCACCTGCCATTATAGTATCATAATATTTTAAATTAAAAAAACCCAAATAGCTCAGTGCCTGTTTTGTTTTCATCTTACACTGAAAGCATTATGGAGATCAATTATTGAACAAAGCAGTGAAACTGACAGCAGTCAGGAAACTTAGAAAAATTCTTTCTCTCTCTCTCTCTCTCTGTCTCTCCCCCAAATTCTGGGATGCAACCCCCCATCTCCCTATCCTTTTAGGAATTTGAAAACAAAATCCATGAAGCTGGAGTCAAAACCTTCCTTAAGGCAAGAAAGAAGCCAACATTTTACTGTCTTGCATAGAGAAAGAGAAGGGGGGATAAAAATGGGTAAACATATGAACTAACAGCTAAAAGAAGACTCCCACAAGAGTAAAGTCCTTTCCCAAGAGCAACTTGGATCCATGTCCTGTCACGGATTATGGCTCTGGTCCATCTCCCCTTCCCCTCCTCAACACTTCCACATCCTAGTGATACCCTTCTCCCCCTTTCCTGCTCATAGCTCCTTGCAGGAAGAATGTGTCTTCTGAAATCCAGTTTCAACAAAGCATTTCCAAAAGACGCATCTACAGCCTCATCTACACCAAGCTGGAGACTTCTGTTTTGCCTTGCTACAGTGCTGTGCCTTTTATATTTGCCATTCCTTCTACTTGTCATGTCCTACACAGCCTAGTCTCTCAGCTTGCACTGGGAACATTTCTGTTTATGCTTCAGAACAGTAGGAGTGCTGTTACATCTAGGAAGCCTCTCCTGCACTGCTGGGCATTTTGGAGCACTCAGTAAGTCAAGCCTCAGGGTCCTCCTGTGACCCTATGCTAGACATCTAACCTCATCTAACTTAACCTGGAATACACATTGCTAAGTAACTGTTTCAGGCTGCAGATTGTCACTTCAAGGGACAAGATGATGCCAAGTTCACAGGTATGCTTTGTTTAATAACATACGTGCCACAGGAAAGGTGCTCAAAGGTGTCCCATCAGTTTCCCATGGCTACAGAATAACAAGTCACTGCAGAATGGTAGCTGCTGAAAGTTACTCTTTCACAGTTCCTGAGGCTGGAAACCCCAAATGAAGACACGCCCTCTGAAGATGTAGGGGAGACTGGCTTGCTCCTTCCAGCTCTCCAGGCACCCATGCTCCTTGGCTTGGCAGCTGCCTCTAATCACCTCTGCCTGAGTAGACACAGGGTGGACACTCTGCTCTGCCTCCTCTTTTCTTCTCCGCTGTCTCTTCAAAGACGCATGTCATTAAGTTGAGATCCTACCCAGGCAATTTAGGGTGACCTCATTTCAAGAGCCATAATTACATGGGCAAAGACCCTTTTTTAAGTGAGGTCATATTCATAGGTTCTGGTAGACACATCTTTTGGTGGCCCACAAAAAATGCTTTTCAAATGAAAAATGAATAGAAAGAAAAATACCTCTGTATAAACATGGGTCTTCATGCATGAAGGATGAGGGAAGAAATACTGCATTTTATTTGTCACCATCTATCTGTAAATTCTCTTTGTAGACAATACATTGTTCTTCTTGCTTTATGCATAGACAGGGTTTTGTCATGTTGTTATACTGCAGTTTAAAAATAAAAAAATCTTTAAATCGAAAGACAAATATCTGCAATCATTCTGACTACAGTTTCATTTCATTTTTAATAGTTTTTATTTTATTTTATTCATTTTAGTTTATTAGTATGTGAGTGTCTATATTCCCTGTGGGGAGTTGGTGCACGTACATAGCACATCTCAACTCCTGTTTTCATCCCTTCCGCTCCTCTCTCTTCCCCCTCCACCCATCCCTGATCTCCTTTTTATCTTTTTTTATTAGTGCATGCTAATTATAAAGAGTAATGGCTCCCTCTCCCTTGTGGCATTTCCCTACATGCGTGTTACATACCTGATCCCATCTATTCTTCCTCCACTGCGGCGGTCCAGCCATCACAACACGAACAGGTCTGAGTCGGGGAGTGAGGATTGAGAAAGGAAAGAATACTCCAGCCTGAGCGGAGACCAAGAGAAGTCTGATTTATTTCACAGAAACAGCTCCTTTTATAGGTTCACATCAACAGGAAGCACCAAGCAACTATTTGTATCTTTTATGCAAAGACTGGATTTTCTGACTCTTTACAAAGAACATCAGATCTGCGGCTGTCTCTTTGAGTTTCTCCCATTGCAGCAACAAGTTTAACAAGCAGAGTCCTAGACTGTTACACAGACTGTATCAATGCCTTGAGTGTAGAGGTGAAGAAGTTTCCTTTTAAATGTCAAACTCCTAGAGGGCCATGGCCGGGCTCCCACACTCCCCCTTGCCTTCCTCTCCTCCAAGAGTCTCCCTTCTGCTTTCATGTCATTTTGCGCTCCAACTGAGTCCACAGATGAGGGAAAACATGAAATACTTGTCTTTCTGTATATTTCATTCATTTCTGACATGACTGTTATTTTTCATCGATGGCCTCCTTTGTCCCTCTTAGGGTGGAACATACATTAAGAAGTTTCTACAGAAATGGAAGAAGGGTTCGCACATAGACATTTCTCCACCTTGTTCCTTACCCTGGATTCCTTAAAATGAAGTTCAGGTTAAGAACCCGAATTGGGAAGAGTGCTGACTATTGCTTCTGATGGAAAGCTATATTTGTATATTTTCACAAACAGAACAGGTCAGGAAGTTACAGAGAAAAATATAATAAAAAGTTCCAGATTCATTTTTCTGTTTGGTTTTAATATAGTCATTTTCTGTTTCCACTTTCAATATGACCAAAAGATTTAATTTGAGTAATGCCACAGGAATGTGGTTTTAAGGGAGAAAATGTTCAAATATCCACCTCCCTGTTCTTCTCTTAAAAAAGAATGATTTCCTATGATCTATGTTGAAAGGCTTTCGAACATTTCCTTCCTTTTGCTGTCATTGTGTTCTTTCTTATGTAAGCAAATAAATATAATTTATATAGAAATTTGAATATATTTTTGTTCTTTTTTTAGTTATTCTATTGGTGTATTTCAGAACGAAAGTAACACTTACTTTTGTTATGGGAATAATAAATTTAATGTGTGTGTTTATCTTCTTTCACCCAATCATCTGATTTTTAAAAATTTTCAATATAATTTCTCCTGATATAATTATTGAATTTTTCTGAGATTCTCATGGATTTTCATAGACATCATGTTGAAAACAGGGGTCTACTAACTCCATGCGTTTACTTTGGGGAGACTTGGGCAGCTGAGGTATCTAAATGCTTCAGTCAGTACTTAAGAGAAATACAGTCAGGGGAGGTACAGATGTATCACAGACATATACCTTCCATTCATTCCCAGCGGGAATGTGTATTAGCTTCCTCATCGCTAGGTCACAATACCCAACGTACACAACTTCAAGAGAGAGAGCATTAATTACGCTCACGTTTTCAGTTGGATTTAGTCCATGGTCAGCTGGTTCCGAAAGCAGAGCAGAGAAACAGCCAGAGACAAAGGGCCTAGGGATCATATATTGTACCCAGTTCATGCATAATTCACCCAGATGCACCCAGAAGTGTGCTCTATGTGGCTTCTAATCCTCCACGTGGCTCCCAGGCCAATTAAGATGACACAGTTAAGCTTAAGTATCATAAGTTTATGGGCCCTAAATTACCTTTTCTCCTTTCTTGTATTGCTTAAAAGTTACACACAGACATCTATAAGTCTTTTTTTAAAGGCCTCTCTTCTTTTTCTTCCAACTTTGTCATGATTCTTCTATTACAACTAAGATTCATAACCAGTGTGCTGTCACTTCTTTCCCTGGACAAACAGTAATGATTGATCACAATATTCTTCATTACTAAGCCTTGAATGGGGCTCAAATGCAAGGCTTCTGGTGACTATTTGCTTGCTCAGAAATTGTGTAAGAGATTTTTTTTTCCCATTTTGCCCTAATTTTTTTTTATTTTTTATTTATTTATTTTTTTTTGAGACAGGGTCTCACTATGTAGTTGAATCTGACCTGGAGCTCACTATGTAGCCCAGGCTGGTCTGGAACTCAGCAATCCTCCTGCCTCAGCCTCCCGAGTGCTGGGATTACTGGCATGCACCACTGCGCCTGGTTCTCTTGCCCTAATTTTTATAACAGAGTCCTCATAATCTGTTTGGCTCTTGCTAAACCCCTTTCC